CGGCCAGAGCGCCGGGCAGAGAGAAGGAAGGGGTGCGGGTCGGGGCTCCGTCCGAGCAGTTTGCGCTCCCATTTAGCCGCCCTGAGTGTGAAAGAGCTTTGGGTGCGGCGTGCCCGCTCGCTGCTCCAGCGCAGTGACTGAGGGACTCACCGGCTCTGCGCTCTGCGTTATTAACGCTCGCTCTTTTCTCTGCGTGGGAAGTTTTTGCCGGCAGGAATGTCCTGAGAGTTGAGATGGGAGATAAAGCGTAAAGTAACTTGCAGAATTGGCTGCTGAATAAGGGAGCGTCTAAACCACGAGTTTGTCCTTCAGTGAGGGAAGCGGGGAGTTGGAGACTTCAGCGCTGGTTGCGTTAAAGCTCTAAAACATTGAATTGTGAGAGGGGAACTGCTTGGGAGATGTTAGCACATTGTTTTGAAAATAAATGCTTAACAGTGAGAAGAAAAAGGAGCCTTATTATAATCTCAAAACATTCCAGTTTGTGTGTTTCACTTTTGAATGTGGTTGGGCTGGTAAATATTTTCATTCTAGGAGTATGTTGCAAAAACATGTGTCTATATGTGTGGTTAAACCACCAGAATGTTTTGTATGGTTTTTCTGATTATATGTACATGAGCATTATGTATTTTATACATTATTTAATATAACTTATATGTGCAGAGACTATAAATATACCGTATGCTATATAATGCATGCAGATAATTGTTTTATCCTGTGACTGATACACTTAAAATATGGTACCATATCATATCACGCAGAAAACCAGAAAATTAGATTTGTACCACAGACTAATATTATGGAATTTCTGCTTCAAATGTCATTTGAACAGTGGTATGCCTTTTACACTGAGTGTATATTTGTTTTTAATGTTGCAGATGCCTTTTGATTGCAAGACTGCTGAAATGATTTGAGGGCTGCCTCTGCTTTCCTAACCATGAACAGTTCAAAATCACTAGGGCTGGCTGGATTTGGAGTCTTAAAAAACACAACCTGCCACACGGAGAAGAAGATTTCAGTTTTCTTTTCAATAATCTTCATGACAGTGGGAATTTTGTCCAACAGTCTTGCGATAGCGATTCTCCTGAAGGCGTATCAGAGGTTTAGACAGAAATCGAAAGCCTCCTTTTTGCTTCTTGCTAGTGGTTTGGTCGTCACAGATCTCTTCGGCCACCTCATCAACGGCACCATTGCAGTGTTCGTGTACGCGTCAGATAAAGACTGGATTCGATTTAACCAATCCAACATTCTTTGCAGTGTTTTTGGCATCTGCATGGTTTTCTTTGGTTTGTGCCCGCTCCTCCTGGGCAGTGTGATGGCTGTTGAACGGTGTATTGGAGTCACTAAGCCAATATTTCACTCTACAAAAATGACTTCTAAACATGTGAAAATGATGTTGACTATGGTATGTCTGTTTGCTGTTCTTATAGCTTTGCTGCCTATTCTTAGGTTTAGAGCCTATCAAATTCAAGCATCGAGGACCTGGTGCTTCTATAAAACAGAACATGTTGAGGACTGGGAAGACAGATTTTATCTCTTACTTTTTTCTTGTCTTGGGTTACTGGCCCTTGCTATTTCATTCTTGTGCAATGCTATCACAGGAATTACCCTCTTAAGAGTCAAATTTAAAAGTCAACAAAGACAAGGCAGATCTCATCATTTTGAAATGATCATTCAGCTCTTGGCTATAATGTGTGTTTCTTGCATTTGCTGGAGTCCATTCCTGGTAAGAGCCTAACGTGTTTGCCAATTCTATAATGTGCATCACTGTATAAAAGTAATACTTTTTTTATCTCCAGGTTTTAAGGTGATTTGGTTGTGATTACAGCTCCATTCACTCTTCAATGTATTAATTCTACAACATATTGCCATAATGTAGGTACCTATGCATCTGTAACAAAAATGGTATTTTTTTTTCCAATTCTAATTCTAAACAAAATAGACTGAGTAAGCAAAACATATAGGGACTGCAAAGACTTTTCCAGTGCTGTGAAACAGACAGTGGTAGCAGAATGGTGGCTAGAATAAATCAGAGCAAGTATCGAGCTTGTCCAAAAATTCAGTGAAATCTTGGAGTGGCAAGTCTGTTTAGTATGCACTGTGGGTCATATCATTTTTTATTTATGGTAGGCTGTTTGTTGTTGTTATTATGATTTATTACTACTTGCGAACTGTGTTATGGAAGGTAACAGTTAAGAATGTAAAAATCCTCCACTCCATTAGCAGGGTATTAAGGGCTTTGCTTTAGAGTCATGTTAAAAACCAGTGGTTAGCAGTGGGTTAAAATAAAAATTTGCTTTAGACCTGACCAAGCTGGGTTTGTAATCTGGACGGATGACTCGCAAAGCTCTGTGCAGTCAGTGCGCCTTCTGAGCGGTCCCGGCTGTAACTCAGGACTGCTTGCTGGTAACTGCTGTGACTCTTCTGGAGTGGTAAGTGTTGCTCACGTTCGAGTGTATTCTGTCTGTGAGCAGGGTCAAAGGAAGCAGTGTTATGATATGGAAAAGAATTTGACAGCTTTTATTGTGTGATGGCATTATAAAGCTGATATTTACTGTAGTAAACTTGACTGAAGAAATTTTATTTTTTTACTATGGTGAGAGAGGTTAAGTCACAAGTAAGATGAAATCTTAATTTATTTCCTAGAAACAAGGTGCTGTAGTTTTCCACTGATATGAATGAGCAGCAGTTTTGGTTTGAGCTTACAAATGTAGAAATTTAAATCTGAGTTATGAATCAGATCCAGCTAAATTAAACGCTGCTGTTAGCCTAGCTGCAGCACTTGGGCTTATCTCGCAGGTAGCATTTAATTAATCCAGTATCCAAGACTTCAAGGAGAAAGTCTGGATATAAATCTCTGCATCACTGAAATGCACAAAAACTCTCACTTTTGTTCAACACACACAAAATTTTCCCCTGTTTCTCTATTAGTTTTCTAGACTTGCTCTGCCGCATAGTTTAAATTCATGTTGGCTTTTGTCAGTGTCCTGGCTGTAGTGTATAGAGCATAAACAAGGTCATCAGAAGAGCATGGCAAGCTTTTGTAGTGAAGTTACTTCCAGTTACTCCAGACACCTAGTCACCTCCTGAAATTTGTCTGGAGCAAGCCACAGAATGGTTTTCAAGAAAAGCAACTCAAAAAAAGGTTTTACTTTTCATGAAAAAACAGTATATTATCCTCTGCTGACATTTATTTTCAGATAAGATAACTGTTCTTAAAGATTGGAATTAATTTGATTTTTAAAAAGCCCTTGAGTGTCAAAAGTGCTGTCTACTTTTTAAATTCAAAATAGATATTTCATTTATTCAAGATATCAAGGAACACTAAATTGCAACTACTGTGATTATTTTTTCAGTGTTGGTAATTTTGTTGTGCTCTTCAATTTTTATTAATTATAAAAACATAATTTTTAAAATCTTGACAATCTTTAATGAAATCACAACACTACTTTTGTGAAAGTATTTAAATTCATCTAAGTTGTAGTTGACAATGAATTATTCCAGTTGCAAAATTCTTTTTCAGAGCCTTTTCAGAGCTTGGCATTTTCATCAGCTGGTGGTACAGACCAGTGAATGACTTCTTGCTTAATTTTGTTCTTGGTAGTTTTGGGGAATGTGTTGTGGAGGGGGATGATACACAAACAATTCTGGTTCATTGGGAGGTAAATCTGCCGGTGCTGTCTCTGTTCCCAGCTTGCGACACTTTGCTTCTGCATCTCTTTTGAAATGACATGAGCCAAACTATGACTGAAATTAGCCTGGCAGTATGGAAAATAGTTCTGCAATATGGACAAATGTACATTAGAAATGCAAAGTTAAAAAAAAATTAAAGTAGTATTTAGTTCTTGAAACAAAGTATCAAGGAAGTGAACAATCAGTGTTTTAGCCAGAGAGTTTGAGAGTTTGGGAAATGAAACCGGACGGTGTCCTTGGCAGGTATTACCTTTCTTAGCTATTAGGATCGTAGAGTTTACATCAAAGTTAATTCTCTGAATTACAAATCTTTGTTTTGATAGCATTCTCTTCACTGAATACAAACAGAATTATAAGCACAGCATTCCTTTAGCAAGCCTTATTGAACTGCAGTGGAGCATGCAGATGCAGTGGAAGAAAGCTTAGCCAGGAACATACTGCTAAAGTGCCACAATAAAGAGATCCAGGGTTTATCAAGGCATATATATGATTTACGATGAATTGCTCATCCAGATTTACTCATTCGATTTATCTGAATCCTCTCAGGGCTTTTCATTTGTGAAATGAATTGTTTAGATTCTGTAATTTAACCAGCATATAGCAAAATTTGTATTTCTTGAATTAAATAGGAGCAGGTGTTCATAGGTGAAATTATTTGGCAAAGTAGCTAAATATATGCTTGGTTTGCATTCATTTACTTTTTTTTTTTTTTCTCAAAGGAAAATCTAGAAGCCAGTGTCAGTCTTTGAATTGCGAATTTTACCCAGCTTCTCTATCCCAAAGAGTATACAGAACACAATGTTATGTGAGAGGGAATTGCCTCAATATAAACCAAAGCAATTAGAAACCAAACAAACTTTTGAAAGAGAAAGGAGAGGAAGACGATGCAGCTTATGCCACATGTGGTTTGCAGATACAAGAGTTTGGATATATTTGGTGTGATTCTCCATCTGATGGGGTGTTTATTTTTCTTCTGCTTTTAATGTAGTCTGGTGTTACGTCAGTTGTCATTTGTGCATGGCTACCAAAACCAAGTCTATCCAATACTGTAATCCAACCGCAGACTTCACTATTAGATTTTCTTTTTTTTTTTCCCCCCAAGTGGAGTTGTATATTCACTCACTGTCCTGTGCTAAAATCACCTTTAGATCACATTAGAGGCACAAGACCCTGGCTTGTCCTTTGTAGTGTCTGATGTGGAACTGAACTTGACTTCTGCACCTGCTCTGTGGTAGTGGATTTGTGTTGATGCCTTTATACATCTGTGTATATATATATATATATATGTGATATTAGATACAATAATACATAATACTATAAGCAGTCACCTTCTCTATTTTAAGACTCCTGGAGATCTGGAGCATTTTTCAGAAGCAGAGCCCATGGCATGGCTCATGTGGAGCTCTACCTGGGGCTGTTGGACAGGGACTTCCTTCTGGTTTCTTCTCCAGCTCCATATCTTTTGTTCCTTAAAAATGAGCAGCTTTTTCAAGGTTTCTGCTACTATGTGGGAATCTTTTCTTAATGGACTACCAGAATGAGGGGTACTCCTTGCTTCTTCCCTTATGGGGGAACATTTATCTCCTTTTGAGGAGTTGAGAGCGGGAAGGAATTCACAAAAAAAGCAACAAGTGAAATTAATGAGTTTTCCAGTAATCTATGTAGTCAATGATTTGCAGAGGCATGTTTGTTCTGACAGTCTAAATAATTTTGCTTTGTGATGGGTAATTCCAGGAAAATATGTTCCGAAGATAGTAACATCAACTTCTCTATGCACTAAGTAATCTTTTTTCATCCTTGCTGGAGTCTTAGCCCTTTGCTAGGGATATGTGAATTTTGTTGGATAAATTTGGTCCCTAGGGGTTGGATTCCCAAAGCAAATGGTTGGGCTGGAGCATTTTGTGACAAGCATCTCTGATGAAATAGATTGTTATATTGTTTTGGCTGTGACTTGATGTCTGGCTTGTCATGAAACAGATTGTTTTTGGAGCTGTGTTCAAATGAGCAAATTCTGACTTCAGTACATCAAATTATGTGCAGCTCAAGGCATAAACATATTTTGGATTTTGGTTTTAGAGTAGCAAAGTGGACTCCCTGTAATTATGGACAGGAGGAGTTTATTTCAGAGCGAATTTGTCTATGGGTACAAATTATGATATGGAGAAATATCTAATCTTTTTTACGTGCAGAACACAGTCTTAGCCTGAGAAAAATACTTTTACATTTAAATTATTCTTGTTCAGATCTTTTTTCCATGCAGTTATCTGATTGCTTTCATTCCAGCTCTACCTCCCCTCTATTGCAGGAAATAGCTGCTCCTTCTGTGGTTGTTTTATTATTTTTTTTTTTTTAAGATCTTGGCTATTTATTTCATATGATTAAATCAGCTCTTATTCAGTTGCTTTTTTTACTGCCTAGATTAATTTCTAGTAGTCTCTTCTCATGTCATCTCTTCTCTTTCTGATTTGTTATGCTAATTGCATCTCTCTGAACTCGCACTGACTTCTTGTCCTCAGATTGTCTCATGCAATGAGGCTTGATGGTTGGTTTTCGTGCACCTTGGGCTGCATTTAGCTTACAATTTGCTGAATCGCTCCAAAATAGAAGCTGCTGGAGCTGTCCTGAGTGGTCCTTCAGTGAATATGCTGCCGGAGGAGGCAAGAAGGGCAGTGTAGTGCTAATGGGGATGCTCTTGGTGGAATACCCTTACCGAAGCCCACCCCACTCTCGTTGCTCTGCCAGGTATTTTGGGTGCTGAGACAGGCCCACGGTTGGTATGTGCTGAAGGAGGTCAGTGGGTTGCAGGTTTTACACAAACTGAATTCTAGGCCATGTAGTTGCATGCAATATAAGGTACTTTATTGTACAAGGCAGACCTCTGTGCATCTCATTTTAGTATTTTTGTATGTGTAGTCATACTTGCACAGTGACACTTTGGCAGGAGTTTGTACCCCTATTAACCTTGAAACTTCTCCCTCCAGTCCTGCTTTCTGTATTCTTTAACAAGCTGGCAGTTGAAATTTCTGTTCTACT